TCGCTGCTGGTTGCCACTAAGATTGCACCGCAGGCTGTTGTGGGGCTCGAACACACAACCTCCTGAATGCCACTTCCGTCCCTAACCAATTGAGCTAAACGTTCCTACACTGCCCACAGTTCTGTGTGACACAGTTCTTGCCTATAAAAAATGTTTTTTGGCCATTCGTTGGCATTTTTGCAAAATGAGAACTGGAGATCGTGCGAAAAGAGAGAGAGAAAAGCAGGGCCGTGGTACCACTACCGTCTTCCCCCGAGCATAACGCACCCTGATAACTGTATAGAAGCGATCTTTCCGGTCCGCTACAGGCATAATGAAGGTGCGTTGTGTTCGGGGGAAGACTGTAGCAAAGGGGATAGGATAGGAATCCTGAATCTGGGCATGTTTATGCAGAGATACAGAAAAGCAGTTCCATCTCGATTTCCTGCTCCTGTCCTCGAACACGTCCAGATTCAGGCATTCAATCCGATGCTCTTTGCTAATGGGACCACGGCCCAGGAGAAAGTAGCGACTGCATCCGCCTCACCAATAGATTGGAGCCAGCACATTCCTCTGATGCCGCAGGTCGTCAGAACACGAAGATATCAACTTTGCTTTTTTTTTTTGTTTTTTTTTTTCAGCCTTTCGGAGAAGCCTTTYTAAAAAAAAAAAAAAAAAAAAAAAGAGGCCTTTCTCCGAATGTCAGAAATCAGTGTTGCATTTTCTAACCCCCTCCGCTTAGGAGAGTGGCATTTTTTAACCCCCTCCGCCCCACTTTGAAGGGGAGGTCGAAAAACGCAAATCTAAAAATCACCCAAAAATCGAGTGCATACCCCATCACTCCCCCCCCCCACCAAACACTCCCCTGCGAGGAGCATCTAATTGTCTCTCTTACTCGTCATCTTCTCTCCCGGACTACGTGTGCGCAGTGCGCACCCCCAATAGCATCGTCCCATGGCCACCCCAAAAGCGAAATACGACACTGCATTTCCTCTGTAACGACAACCCCTGCTCACTCCGGATCGGCTGCATCCCCGACGACTGTCATCCCTCCCCGACGGCGGCGAAATGCGGCGCAAGCATGCACACCGCGTGGACATTCAAGACCTCCACGCTATCGACGGCCACGGGCTGTCACCAACCGCGTGTCCAGTCAGGCAAAAATTCGAAAGTCTTAGCAGTGGAGATGGACATTCAAGACCTCCACACTATCGACGGCCACGGGCTGACACCAACCGCGTGTCCAGTAAGGCAAAAATTACAAAAGTCTTAGCAGTGGAGATGGACATCCAAGACCTCCACATAATTAAAAAATATATATATATAATAATAATAATAATAAAATCGACGGCTACTGGCTGTCACGAGCCGGCACACGGGGTTGAAGACCTAACTTGCACCGTGGCACTACGGTACTGGGCTGAGAGCCGGGCTTTTGGGTGAGAAAAGGATTGTGTGGTCATCTCCACTGCTAAGACTTCTCGAATTTTTGCCTGACTGGACATCTCCACCGTTAAGATTTTTTATTTTTTTTTGCCTGACTGGACATCTCCACGGCTACGACTTTTCGAATTTTTGCTGCAGCTCTTGTTTTTTCACGTTGTGTCCTCCACGAGAGTAACGCCCTCACACAATGTTGCGCTATTTTTCTACATGAATTGCAAAAATCGTGATAATGATTTTATCAATTTCTTCTAACCCCGTCCTTCGGGACATCCGTTAAAATTGGAATGATACAGAAAATAAAGATTAGCATGGCCCCTGCGTAAGGATGACACGCATAAATCGAGAAATGGTCCACAGAAAATGAAGATTAGCATGGCCCCTGCGTAAGGATGATACGCATAAAGCGAGAAATGGTCCAATTAAAAAAAAAAAAAAAAAAAAACTTCTAACCCCCTGCTGTAGCTCTGGGCGTCGGATCAATTAGATCGAATGGGAAAAGTGTTCGCTCATGTCAGACTGTATATTACCGTTGGATTGAAAAATGAACCGCAGCTACGTAGTGGGACTTGGCCTCCGGCCCACTCAAAACAGCATCGTTTTTTTCCTTTTTTCTCATCATAATTGTCATCATCGCCATCATCATAACTGAAATCTTTTTTTTTTTTTTTTTTAAATCATCACGCTACTACTGTCCTTTTCCTTTTTGTTCGGTTATGACGTTATTCTCCTACTTAAACACCATTCGTGTTAGAGCATACTTCACACTAGGACTTTCCTGGATGTATCTGACTGTCATTACGGCCCGCCGTCTCTATGTATCTGACCGCAATTATGCCCAGCTCTCTATGTCTATGAACCCAACTGTCCAGAGATCAGTCGATAACGTCCTAGTTCTACGAGTGCGCCTTCAAATTGTCATCATGGACTCATCGGGTCCCGCCACTGGTAGCCGCAAAAAAATTCTTCTCTATGCATCTGACCGCAATTACGTCCAGAAACGCGTGAATTACTTACCCTTTCAACCGCCGTCATTTATGTAAAGATTTTCCTCAATAGCTTCCGCCCGATCAGCCAGTCTCACCATAATCTTCCTCCGATAAATACGAACTCTTTCGGCGGGGCGACCGGGGGAGGGGGAGGGGGGGGACGAGGGGGGGGGGGGAAGGTAATGGTGCAGGCTTCTCCAGTGCCACAGTTTTCGGCGCGAACTTCGGGCCTCGCTCCACTACACTCCCCCAAAAAAGACAAAAATATGACGATGTATCTTCCCATTTTCTAGCCGAAGATTCATTCGCAATTTGCACATTTGGCGAGTAGTGGAGCGAGGCCCTAACCGGCAGGTATTTCTAATCCGAGGACGAAATGGACAGTTACGGTTGGTGACGTCAACGAGAATGATCTCCGAATCCGGATCTCGACTGTGATAGCTACGGTAACGCTCCGCTTGTGTGCGAAGGGGGGTGTTTTCAGCCTTCTGGGTGAACAAATGGGTCTAAATCGCCTTACGGGTCGAAATTTTGGCGGATGGCAAGCAACGCAACTAGGCCCACATTCACCATTTCGTGCACCAGGACAGATTTCCGTGCGGCGAGGCCCATACATTGATACACACAGTGTCACACACACAAGAAAACCATTTAAGGCACACACACAAGAAAACCATTTAAGGCACACGCCGAAGAAAACCATTTAAGGCACAAGCAGAAGCCAACCATTTAAGGCACACGCAGAAGACAACCATTTAAGGCACACACGCACAGCCACATACGTGCAGCTCCTCCCCTTGGCAACGGAGGAGAGGAGTCAAGGAATTATGGGCGTGTTTCCGTTATCTCATTTCTCTCTTGTCATTCCCCAAATTTCATTTTCAAATTGATACAAAAAGAAATCACTTTTTCGCCGACACAACGCACGTCGTCTGTCAGAGAAAGAATGTGACGAGAAAACATCACCAACGAAGGGAGGGCAAAATAACGCGCCCAGAATTTGACAGTTTTTTGGCGGACGTACGCACACAAACCAGTCGATCCAGCGGCAAAACCAACTCATCGTGAGGTTAGAATTCTACAGTGTCAAAGAGATCCTGACGCAAAGCAATCATGCGCTGATGTGTGTGCAAGGGTATGCGTGCCTATGCGTGCCTCTACGTGTCTCTGAGCGTGTGTGTGTGTGTTTGTGTGTGTGTGTGTGTGTGTGTGTGTGTGTGTGTGTGTGTGTGTGTTTGTGTGTATGTGTGTGAAGTTATCTATCTCTGACATAGTTTGCGAATATCCCTATCAAAGTCAGGTATACATTTACCCAGCTTGTTTCTATATTTAATCACCTTTCTGGCGAATTATTGCTGAAATAAGACTGTAAGACTCTAACCAATTATTGACCCCGCAAAGACATTCACAAACTATGTGATAGATAGATAACTGCATCGAGAGAGAGAGAAAGGAGGGAGGGAGATTAGATCCGTAAAAAGACAGACAGATTAGCTAGATATATATAGATGTGTGTGTG